TTATTGGAGGAAAGACTTTTACAAAGACTGACATGTTTTGGTGCTGCACTGAAACTGCTTGCTGTAGAATCTAATTTTGATTTGAATAGATGCAGTTTTTATTTTGTTTGGGCAATTTAAGAGCAATGAAAGAAATAGCTAAATTTAAATTGTTGAACACCCTCATAGTTGATGGCCTTTTCTTGGCATGATTTTGCTAAAGATTGTTTCTTTTTTAAATTTAAGATATTTGCATATACAGTAGGCCTATTCCTCCTGCTACTTAAAGCTTTATTTAGGATCTGTTTTAAACCTTTTTTCTCTCAGTATATCATTAAAACCTTTATGTAATTGACCCTAAAATTGCAGTCTCTTAACTTGAAGTCCCAGTTCCCATGTGGTTTCCACAGAAACACCATTTTTTTTTTCCTAAATGTTTTTTTTTTAAGGATAAAGCAAAAGACAGGTTACTTTTGATGTTGTACGTGTCTTTTTTTCCACACAGAGATAAGCAAATACAATCATTTAAACTTACACTTTTTAAACAAGAAGTTGCAGTCAGATGTTTTTTACCCTTTTAATGTAAGAAAATTTAGTATTTACTTTCTGATGTTTGCCGTTCTGCTATAAACCTCGAGCAAGTTCCTTTATCTCACATTGATTACTGGAAATTTAAACACCAGGCACAGAGACTGAGTTACTACTGTGCCTCTGCTGAAGCTCCTTGCGTCCCTGCTGGTTGTAAAGCAACTGAAAGACTCCAATGGATCTTTGTTCAAAAACTATCTACATTTTTTTTTTCTTTTTATACAGGTTTCATGTAAATAGAGGCAATTGCTATATTGTGATGAGATTGAACTTAAAATGTTATTGTATTGGAATGAGAGGGGAGCCTTATGCCCATCCAATATTCAATGAATCCATCTAAACACTTGTTCTGATCATGTCATCTGGGTGTGAAGACCTTTAAGAGCCCCTTTATTTTAGATTAATGACCAGAAGCATGTACCACAAAGTGATTTTGCATGTATAAAGGTGGGCTCAAGGGCAGAGGACTAATCACAACCATCACCACAGAAGCCAGGCTGAGAATGAATCCAGCTTTGTGGTAACAGAATGTCAGAGTTAAACCTGAAGTTGTTTTGTTAACCCAGTAATCCTGCTTCGTGGTACAGGCCTCAGGTCACTCCTCCATAATGGGTCGGAAACCCTTTCTACTATGAATACAGAGCAGAAAAATACCCCATCAAAGGGATTTCATTAAGTCAAATATCTATTTAAGCAGTTCAGACTTTTATTTCAGCCTTAAGAATGCATATATGACAGCTGCTGCGTTTGGTTGTATAATGCAGTGGGCATTTTTTTCAACAAATAAAGCGAAATAGTAATTCTATGAATAGGACACGCATATGTATATTTGGAATGAGTGGTGCATATGCATTTTAAATTCAAGTTTTTGAAAATCTTTATTTAATCACAACAAACTGGTGTATGATATTTGTTTCTGCAGACTGAAGCTTGTTCAAGGCAGCAGTGGTTGAACAACATGGCCGTGAATAGGATTGTTTTTTTTTTTGTTTTTAGCTGCAAAAAGAGACGTGCCTGTTGATCAAGGTTAATGACTTGAATAGAGAACCTCTTGTTCTCTGTTGCTGATACTATGCCACAGAAGGGGGTGATATCATTATGTACAAAATAACTAGCTTTGTAATTTTAAGGGGTATTGTTTTTATTTTATTTGCCATGAGTAATATGCTTTATAATGCGCAGTATATATTCTGTATTTTTCTATGTGGATTTTTGTTTTTCTTGTTTTGCTTTTTGTCTAAATTAGACCAGGAATAATAAAGGTGTCTGATTTGTGAGCACATTTATTGTCTGCTTGTGTGTGGGTGGAAAAATATTACTTAAGCAGGTCCTTAAAACCTAAATAAAGCATAAGGGAATTATTAGCATGGTTTAATATATTGAGCTTCTGTAGTTGTTGTTTTCAGAGCCGCTATTATTGTGCTGATACACTTCTGTCTTTATATTTATATATTTTGACAGGACTACTGTATATGACCGTGGTAACAGTGAGTAACCATGTTCTGTCAGTATTACTGATATCACATAAATGTCCAGAATGCAGCACTTTCTCTCCCTGTCCCACCTTCTCTTTCATAACCATCACTCCCTGTATCTCTGTCACCTACTCCACTGCACCTTCTCACATGTTGTCTCACTGTTTGCTTTGTTCTTCTCCCTTGTTCCATGAAAAATGTATCAGCTCACAGAGGCCTTATTTAGATTTATAGTCTCTGTTCATTTGCCTAAGGCTGAAGGAGAGAACTTGTGGGAAAAAGGTTGAATTTCCTTCAACGGATATATGGCAAAGTGATAGTGGGTTATGCATCCAATTGGATCCTATAGTAAGTGATGTAACGGTTTGTAAATCAACTGCCTTTTTGACCGACGCAGTGGGAAGTAAGCATCAAACACGCATGCACTGTTTTAACACTGTTCCCCACTGACATGTCAAGGGCGATTACAGGATGTTTGAATCCTATTGATTTTTGACAGAGAGAAGCTGTTCATAGTTGTGTAAAGGGTATTGTTAAAGCAATAAGTCTCTTTAACATTTTTTTCATATTTTGTTACATTTCAACCACAAAGGTGAATGAGTAGTAATAGATTCAACGTTTTACGTCAACACCAATAATACAAATATAAGGAAGGAAGGAAATTTCTTAATAGTTTGCAAAAAGTTGAAAGTAAAAAATCTGTATACTAAAACATGGATTTAATTCACTCTACTTTACTCTGATAACCCTAGTTGTTATGTTGCCCAACCAGTTGCCTAGAGTCGCAGCTGATTTGCAAAGGCTTAAAGAACTGATTAGAGGACATAAAAAGAAAAAGAAAACACTTGGGAAAAGAAAACAGTCTTTAAAATCAGTGGCGTGCACAGATTTTTAAAGGGAAGGGGCAGCCACACGCTTTGGCTCCCAAGAGGGCACTTCAGCGTGAGCTTTGGATCCAGAGTAGGCACTTGAGGAATATTTTAAGATGCATTTTGACTCCAGAGACAACACTTTAGTATGCATTTTGACTAGGGTAGCCATTTTTATAGCACCAAAAAGGAGGAGATTATGCTGCATATCAATGAATTACTAAGGTGTACATAAGAATCTGATAATGTCTTGTTTATAGTACAATTTTGAGGGTTTTAAAGAGGATTCTTGTGTGGCTGAATTGGAATAGATATTAATGAAAAGTCAAAAAGAATTTGTTCACGGTATTTGTATTTACTCAATACATTGTGGTGTTAAAAATGTGACCACTGATATGAATATTTAAAGTGCAGAATGCCACAAAGCATAACATGTGTGGACTTAAACATAAAAAAAATCTTTTAGCAATTAACATTCATAATAAAAAAACACGAATATTTTACCTCAACAGCAAAAGAGATTGTAAAAAAAAAACACTTTCAACTACTCAAAAAGAATAGTTTTTTTTAAAGTTCGTCAGTCTTTTGGGAACTTGTCTTTAGTGTCTATGAGTGTGCAGCAGACCTGTTTTTATGGTCACCCCTTTAGCTGAAAATCTCTTTCACACCACAGTCTACACTTATGTAGGATTGGTGAGGTTTTACAGTATGGTACACTTTGCACAACTCTGCATCAGTTATTTAGGCATACGAGGTTAAACGAGGTCTTGCGTTTTGGCATGATACTAACTTTCTGTCTATGCATAACTTAGCAGCACTCTGATCCTTGCTTACTTTTTTAACCAATGAGAAGCAGACATTTATCTGACATACAGTAGCACCACTATTAGCCAATCATCTGTTAGATCAGATAATCGATGGATTTCTTACTTTCTATGATTGGATATTGGGCTGCAGCCCAGCAAAAATGTAAAAAAAAAAAAAAAAAAACTGCTCTGCAAGCCTTGTACTTCATAAAGGAGGACAAATACACGTCCGGCCTGATGCAGCGCCTGATCCTGGACAAGGCCTTGCCTTGCCTAAAGCCGGACATCTGGCCACCCTAATTTTGCTGTTTGGCTTCGAAGACATCACTTTTCTATGAATTTTATTTCCCGGGACGGCAAGTTAGCGGGTGTTTTGGCTCCCAAGAGGGGACTTCAGCATGTGTTCTGGCTCTATAGAGGGTGCTTTAGCTTTTTGGCTCCAGAGAGGGCATGTTAGCACACATTTTTGCTTTCAAGAGGACAATTTAGCACATGCTTTAGCAGCTGAGTAGGCACTTTAACGTGCATTTTGGCTCTATACTGTAAAGGGCACTTGAGGGCACTTTAGCACACATTTTGACTCCAGACAGGGCCCTCTAGCACATAATTTGACTTCCAAGAGGTCCTTTTCTTCAATTAAGTTTTCAACAGGTGACCTAGCTGAGAAAATAAAATTTACGATGAAGGTGTTCAGGTCAGGTGATTCCAAAATTGAACTATTGAACTATTGAACTATTGAACAAAAATTGGACATTGTGGGCTCCAATACATGGAATTAACCGTTGTGGTGACAGCATAGCGCTGTAGTGTTGCCTGATGTTGATAAAAAAAATACGAATGAGGCTAAAAACAGGGTAAATATGCTACAAAATGTTTGAATGTTGAATGTAAGGCGTGGAACTGAGGGAGATTAAATTTCAAGTCAGAGAACAACGCTAACTATAATATATAAGCTTCAGTGGATTTGTTTAGATTAGAAGCCTCAAACATTGATCCCAAAGGGCAGGTATATTTATTTTAGATATATTCATCAAGGACATCAGTCATCAACAACAGGAGCTTTAGGATCCTGGTTTGAATTCAAGCATATCTTACAACGACATACTTAAAGTTGGGACTTACAGGATATTAAAAAAGTGGCAAGAATTGAAATGTTTTGACCATAGAAGAGCTCAAAGAAAATCCATGTTGTACCAGTAGATTTATAATCATAAAAAACATGAATGCCTTTGTTCTAGCATCCTACAGGAGCTGCTAACACCTTCATGTTTATTGTGTTGCAGTGTTGCGTCTCTTAAAGGAGGGAGCAGACCCCAACACTCCAACTTCCTCAGGGGGATCTTTGCTACACCTGGTAAGATACTACTATTAATGATGGATTAGGTAACTCTGCAGTCTGGCTAAACAAAATCAAATAAAGCTCAGCATCTATGAATGTCATTTTTTCTTCATTTAATGTGTTGTTTTTGGTCTCCTTGAGGCCTTAATTTCCTCCTCAGAAGAATGTAATTATCAACAGAGCAGTACAATAGATGTTAAAAAAGATTAATTACCGTGCTGTATGATTTTCTCATGTATTAATTAACAAAAGATGATTCTGTTGCACGGTTGATAGTAAGCTGTGCTCCCGGATATAGTTTTCTTTTAACTAATTGTAATGGGATTGATGGTCTCTGCTTTTTCTGCAGTGTGCTCGCCATGATAATGTGTTTGCAGCCGAGGTCCTGATTGAGCGAGGCTTAAATGTCAACAAACAGGACGAAGACCTGTGGACAGCCCTTCATGTAGCATGTGTATGTGACCATGCAGATATGGTTTTGCTACTACTGCTGGTAAGAATAATTTACAAACACAGACATTCATTAAAGTCACTGGAATGCAAACACTAAAGGAGGTATGCAACATTGCACTTTATGGGGGGTAGAACATTTGTTTTACTGATTCCTCTATTTGAGTAAGACACAAATTATACTGGTGGTTATGGACTTGGTTGGAGTTCAGGTTTCTTTCTAAATTTTCTTTCAACTTGTTGGCCTATTAGTGTCATAATCGGTTTAATGAGCTAAACCCATATGCAGAACACCAACAGGAG